ATGTGAAGCAAAACGTCTTCAAACTTGGAAAAAAAGTCCAGTGGATTGTTTTTTTTTAGCTTTCTTTGGACTATGACCTGGATGACTGAGCTAAAGCAGACATAACTAAAGTGGGATAGTTTAAATCAAACCAGTTCCATTTGTTAATACAAAACATAAAATGCATAGAGCTGAATCCAACTGAATATGTGGCAACACAACAAGTTTACATGATATGAATATTTTGCAAGGACTTGCATATGACACAAAAAATATGCCAAAAATCTTTAGGCTAGAGTAGCGGCAAATAAGTATAATGATGAAAAATAATTAAAGATAAGAATAAAGGTAACTTACATCAAATTTGTCAAAGCTACTCAAACAGAACCCAGGTTTGTCTACCGATCTGCTAATTGGTGCTTGAATGTTTGCGCATTGGTGAGTTAGACTTGTGTGTCTAAATTTGACAGTTTTAGAGGTCTGTTTGACTAGGAAAGTGCTGAATAACTCATTCTTTACTTATTTATCTAAACTTCTCAGTAAAAGTAGCCCATATGTCAATGCAGCAGGCATGTTTAACACAGCAAATATGAAAGGACCAAGAACACACCCTTGGGGGACCTCTTTGCTCAGTGCAGTTCTGATTATTCACAGGGGGGAGAACACACTAAGGATTTTCAAAAAAGGAAAGTCCAGTCAGCAAGGAATAACCAATAGATCATTATCTATACCTAAACCTAAGCCTTTAGCCTATTGTCTTATCTAAGGCCCTAAGGAACAGTGCTAGCATTAGCCTAGCTTATTGTTAAGATGAATGAGATTCACCTGAGTAGTACATGTGTATAAGCAATACAAAGATTGTGTAAACCTTATGCTGTAGCATTTTAAAGGAGAAGTCCGGTCAGCAAAGAACGATCAGTAGATCATTATCTATACCTAAAACTAATATGTTAATCAGTAAAAAAATAAAAAATAATTATTGTTGTTGCAATCACTGAGTCTGGGAGCGGCCATTTTTGCCCAAATATAGTAACCCCTCCCTCCTGCCATCTTCGGGCAGTGACGTCAAGGTGCGGTTAGCCTAGCGCCATTCTCCCCGCTTTACAAGCTAAATCAATGGGAACTACTAGACACATCTGCAATCAACAACAATTATTGAAGGTTTCCAGAGGACTTCACCATTGAAATTCACCAGAGCTATAGTGAAACTGACAATGCCCACGTGCATGGCAGCTGGATGCTGGAATACATCGGGTAAAAGTGGGAAAAAAAAAGAGTTATTTCACCTTTCTGATTCCTGATCCTCCACGGACGGGTTGGTCGTTGGATCGCCAACTTGAAGAGGGAGGATTTGCCATCGAACTTCTGGCCAGAGAAAAAACCCGTAATATGTAGCCAACATTTGGAAGAAGAATGTTTTCAAGATGACTTGGATAATAGCGCGTTGTGACAAACACCAGATACAGCACTGGGACTTGATCAACAGCCGATACCGCACCGTGACGTCACTAACCAGTAGGTGGCAGTAGTGTTCTTTGACAAACATGGATGCCTCCAGTAAAGCACATTCACATGAAAATTACTCTGAATTAAAAACACTGATCATTTATTGAACAGGATGGAATAATTTCATATTTAAAAATTTTTCAGTAGTTTGATTGTGAATATGAGCGGACTTTTCCTTTAATATAAAGGAAGAAACATCAACAGGGATTTATTTTGGTTCTACATGAGTTGAGTTAAAGCATCTCAAGCTAAAGCCTAAAGCAGTTTTCTTTCAACGGAGGTGGACAATCACATGATTGGACTCTGGACTGATTAATTCTTCTTCTTTACTCAAACTGTCTAATAGAATTACAAATGCTCTCTTCCCCAAAGCCAAATTTGGAGAAAAAAAATGAAATGTTTTCTTTTCTAGCTGGAATCAAATGCTGTCTACATTTTTACATGAGACATATAAGCTGTTTATAAAGTTGTCCCAATCCAAAGGCTGAGACTGCATTAAAGCTTTTTTAACAGCCTTATGGCTCCTGTTATTCTCTGTTATTCACACAGTTATGTTGTTGCTAAGCTGTCTGATACAATAAAGATTTGGAGACTGAAGGACATGTTTTCATCACAGCAACAGGAACAAGTTCTAAATTCCTGAAGAGGTTTGGTGCCCTCTGTTGGATAACCTACCAAATTAATTTCTCCTAAAATCAACTCTAAGCAGAAAGGCATGAAAGTTATTGCAGCTTAATACGTCACCAGTTAAAAAGCCTGACATTTCAGCTTAAGCTTTTTAACAGGTGAAATTTTCAAAAAATTTCCTTTGATTTTTCTAACAAGGAACAAATGTAGCCATTATACTAAGAACGTAATGAACAATACAAAGTATTAAAAGATTAAATGTTGTATTTGGTTGTTATGTTTGCAAAATTCCATATTATTTTCAAAATGGGTTAAACTTTAAAACTACATTGAAAAATATCAAGAATTTCTTATTTATTTGACTAATTGAAAAAAAAACTTGTAAATGAAAATGTTTACCTTTGCAACTAAATAGGAATTTTATCTAGCTTCAGAAAATATATTTCATCGTAATCGTGTAATCTGTACATATATATATGTTCATGTTCATGTTATATATTATATCATTATATATGATATAAATTATTGTTTATATATACATAAATAATTATTATAATATATATATATATATATGTATATATTAATTATTAGATAGATAGATAGATAGATAGATAGATAGATAGATAGATAGATAGATAGATAGATAGATAGATAGATAGATAGATAGATAGATAGATAGATAGATAGATAGATAGATAGATAGATAGATAGATAGATAGATAGATAGATAGATAGATAGATAGAAACAGGACTACAAAGGAATGGGATATTTCTATTCAATAAAAGTTCAATGATATATTTCTACCATATTCCCAATTGAAAATTTCTCCTTGTATATGTGTGAATTATTGGAAACAAGCTTTATATTGAATATTGAAACAAGCTGTATCAATCCTCTCTCTCTGTGTACTTATTTATCTACCGTATCT